GTACTTGTTTCTTTCTCTGGAAGTAGCTGGATTACTGAGAAGGGTCAGGGAAGCACTTGTACCCTCCTCTTCAATACTGACACTAAAACTCTCTGCCTTTTACCTCAGCTACAAATAGCATTTGTTGAACTTGTGTCCTCTGTTGCAGATGTGTGGGAATAGCTGTGAATATTTAACAATTGAGAATCTGAAAAAAATAAACCCCAAATCTTCTAAACCAAAACACCCCACAGCAAAAACCACTGCACTRCAAAACACCCCTCTTGCTGCTGGGGAAGAGAAGAGAACAGCACATGGACAATGCCACTCACTGCTGATGGTGGTACAGACAGATACTCCAAACACACCACAGGGCACAGTGTAGAAACTGTACAGAATCAGGAGAAACAAAGAGGCTGGATTCACCCTAATCACACATTCTTTTTCTTCCTGATTTGAAACAAATATGGAGAATTAGTCAAGAAATGCCATGTTTTTCTAAAAGCAGATTTCCCTTTTTTGAAATCTGCACTGATTTCAAACTACACCAGGGAATGGTATAAAACAGAAGATATTTTCCTGTGACAAAATATGGAAGAATTCTTGATGTTTCATTTGAAATTTCCATTCCAGAGGAAGAGGAGAAYGGAAACTTTTAATTTAAATCAAAACTTTTTGAGCAAATAGAAAATGTTTACATCATTCAAAAAATAAATATTTTGGTTAATTTTATTATCAACCCAATACAAATGGCAGTGTCCACAAATCAGCATTTGAGACTTCCTGAAACCAGGATGTGAACTCCTTCAGGGGGTTTAATTTCAAACCTTTCTCTGAAGAGTGAAGTGCATCCACTGCAGAAAAAGAAAAAAAAAAAAAACATGCACCTCCACATGTGGTATCTCTGGCACTAAGCGAYCTGTGGTGTCTTTGGAAGGTTTTGGGGAGGTCAGTGTCTCCTCTAAACTTTCCTCTTTGATTCATCCTGCTGGCCTACATTTGATTGAACTTAATTGCAAAGCTGTCCTTTTTTTAGATCTGTTTGTGTTGAAATTCCTCCTTTAAAAGACCTTTCAGGAAATCTCTGCTTTTCCTTAAGGATCTCAGTCAGGCCCAGACGATGTTGTGACCCAGCTCACGAGGCTGCTCCGGAGATGTGGGGTTGGGGACAGTGGGCTACCAAARGATGGAGATGGCTGAGCTGTTACAACATCTACTTCTCCCTGCTCTGCGCCCTTTTGGTGCCCAAAGTGCACAGAAAAAGCTCCTGCTTATCAGACACATGCTGGGAGCTCTGCTTGTCACAGCTGCAGCAGCTCACCAGCTTATTACACCCTTCTGCYGTTTGCTGCTGATTCCCCCATGCTCAACCACCCTCCAGAAACCTGGCCAGCCYCCTCCTTTGTACTCCTGCCTCGGCAGATGAGCAGACAGTACCTGGGTGACAGCAGGAGCCCACGCACCACTGCTCTTCCGAGCTCTCCAGGGAGCGGAAATACCCAGAAGGATCCTGAGAAACTGGGATGTGGAGCATGCCTTCAGCGAGACCCATGACATTAGTAACTAGCAAGCTTTTTATAGCCTAAGTGCATRAAAAGTTCCATGAACGGGAAGGGAACATGGTAACAGATTCCCCTCCCTCTCCTGAAAGTTCATGCACTTTGTTCTGTACTGCACTGATCAATAGAAAATCTCCCATAAATATAATCAAACAGCTGAACAACGCCCCAATTTACACCACTCTTCTAAAACAGCGTCTGCGTTTCCCAAGAAAGACTATAAGCCCAGTTTCCAAAATATTTCACCACCTCTCACTGAAAAAAGCACCTAAAATAATCTACAGTGTGTTTTATTTCCTCTCCTCAGTGTTCATCTCCTTCTCAGAGTACAAAAATCAGTCTTTGGCTTGTAACTCACTCCCTAATGGTTCCCAAAGCCATTCCATTGCTGCAAGCAACACATTGAACCATGCAGGCAAAGCCAAGATTTTACTGGGGTTTAGACAACAAGCAGGTGGCCAGAGCCTCCCCCCTGACTGCCCCCTGCTTAATCTGCTTCAGGAGGTCAGTGATGGAAGCAATCAGACAGCGATGGATGGCTGGGATGCGCCCCACCCGCAGCTGCTCAGCCCATCGCTCTGCAGAGGAGCTATGGAATGGCATTTTCAGGTACTCTTCAGACACAAAAGTGAACTTTGGTCAGGTTTAGTCTAGCTCATAGATGAGATCACTGGAAGAAACCAAGAACCAGTTCCAGGAAAAAGCCCTGACATTATCCACCACCCCTCAACTTTCCCGCAGTGCAGGGATGCAGATGCAGAGCCCCRTGCCTGCTGCTCGCTGCCGGCTCAGTGAGCTGAGGGGAAGTGCCAGGCACAGAGCCCCAGACAGCATTTAGGCTGSATGAATCTGTGCCCAGACAGTTAGAGCTGTATGTCAACTCTGAAATTAAGAGCACTTGTGAAAGCCTGAGAGCTCCTCTGAGATGACAMGGCTGTGCAGACAGGTCCTGCTGTGCCTGCTCTGGAGCCGCTCTCCCTTCCCTGCCTTTTCTGCTGCTTTGCAGGGTCCAGGTGTGCAGCATCCACTACACTGGAACACAAAGCAAGGTTCAGCCCCTGCCTGAAGGCTCTGGTGTGTTGTCTGCAATTTTCCTGCTGAATCACAGACAAACAAGCTGGTGAGCCACAGCTGATGAGAAAAGCAATAAACTATGTAACTGAGATGTTCAGCTGAGAGTTTTTGTGTGTGCTGATAAATTCTGCTGGTGTAAGGAAAACCCCCTTGACAACTTTACTGTACTGTTATCGTTAAAATTAACTGTAGCATTAAACTCTGAAGAAGACTCAATAAAACTCTCCTGTTCCTCAAGGAAGCCTGATTAAAACACAGTGTGCTCTCAGAATCTGTGCTAACTACAGAACTTTCTTTTTTGTTGATCTTGCAAAGTYCAGCTATTTGATTTTTCTATTTTATCAAACATTTTCCCTTCCGTGCTCAAAGCATAATCTAGGAAATTATTCAATTTTAATTAAAAGGAACCTAGCCATCAGTTGCAATGCTAAAACAATTTTCTTAATCTGCTTTATTACAACGGTCCAGGGGAACATTGGGCAGTACTTACACTCTGGGCTGGAAGGGGATGCTGRGGCTATTGCAGTGAACATCAGCAGCTCAGAATGTTCTGCCTGCAAAGGCCCCTGGCAACTGCTGCCCGTAGTCATTGCATTCGGAGACCATGAAGAGGAGGTGTAAATCCTAGGACCTCTAGCTGTGTCAGGAACGGCACATTCTGAGCAGATCCAAGTCTGGAGGCTGGTGAGCCTATATGGAGCAAGCTGTACCCTGCCTGCAGCGGATCATGGTGTGAAAGCCCGGGGGATTGTGTTGGCGCTGCTTATTTAACACCCCCCTCCGCAAGGCAGGCTTGGCACAGGACAGTGTCTAACGAGCTGATGATTTGATGTGAGACCCTCTGGCTCAGAGCTGAGCTCAGGCACCATCAGTGGAAGGGGCTACATAAACAATCCAGACAGGTTGTCATTATTAAATATTCCATGAATTACCACATGATCCTACAGTCATTTCCATGCAAAGCAACAGCAGGAGCCAAAAACTAAATTGCAGTACAGCCCCTGCATAAATTCCTCCCCTTCGCTTCCCCAGAGCACTCAGCTCAGCTTTTGTGTCTCAAACAAGTGTGCAGGTACACTGTGTTTTTATGGCTATGCTCCCCTCTTTGGAGCAGTGAAAACCAAACATGTAAAACATTTCAGGACATTTAGAATGAGACTTCAGTGCAAGATAAAGTGCTGCTGCATGTGAGTACTGTTGGGGTAGTCTTGGGTTTTCACACAAGACTTYTGGTGTCTCAGAAACTTCCCTCAAAATCCTGGATTTTCATATCTTTGATGAGAAAGTTAGCATTTATAGACCCTCAAATTGTTTCCCCAGGTCACTGCTGGACTCATGATTCCTGGGCCATTTAACTGTTATTACACGGGAAGACATTTCACACCAGCTATCAGTCAAGRTGAAAGCTTTTCTTGCCTGGATGACATCTCCATGGCTCAGCAGGGTGATGAGCCCCATCCTCAYGGGCCTGGGGACTCAACTCCAGCACATGGGGAGAGATCCAGGGAGGAAGAATTCAGGCACCTAAGAGACTTGCTGCTACCCTCCTACCTCCTGCAGTCAGCATTACTGTGGAGATGATGGAAACAGAAAAGCAAAGACTGCAGACAAGGGGAGCTGGCTATTCTTGATGAAGGTTTTCTCATTGCACACAGCCTGAATGGTTTGTAATCATCAGAAAAGCTGCCACTGGAAATACCCTYGGTTTATGCTGCCAATTTGAGTGACTTCATGCAAGATTATGATTGCTTCAGGGTTTCTCTTCCCCCTCTCACTGACAAGTTGTAATTCACGCCAGAAACACTATCATCCAAGCTATTCTAAAAGCCTCTTCCATATTGTCTAGTCCTCATCCACCCCCAGATCCTTGAGATTTGTCTCCTGAATGAAGGCTGTAAATCTTTGTACAGGATGGCAGGAGAACTTTGAACATCTGAGTTATTATGTAAATGCAGCATCAATGRTACTTTTAACTGCAAGTTGATTGGGACTGTAAATGGAACACCAGTGATTTATGTGTCTGAGTGCTTCCTACATATAGGAAATAATGCTTTTGACTGRCCTTGAACCAAAAGCAGGAATCCCTGAAGTGTCCTGCATGCTGAGACWGCCCACATCTGGGCTGGAGCTAAGAARCCACCTTTCATCCTACCTGTGCTGYTCATTTACCTGTGTCTCACAATATGAAGAAAATCAACATGGACCAGTTTCCAATGCTCTGAGTATTAMTGGATAGTCCTGGTCCACATACAGCCAAAAGAGCTAATTTAATTACTACCATGTCCAAACATCAAACTGGTCCGTCGAGACCCTGCAGCATTGTAAGGACCGGGATGTGGCAAAGAGTGCTCATGATGGGCTGGAGGGATCAAGGAATRATGGGCTCACCTGACACAAAGGCCACTTTCTCCTTCAGTATAGGAAGGACATCAGCAGCTTTTAAACCATCATTTCGAAAAGAACCTGCAAAACAGAGAAAAAYAGGAAAGCCACATTAGGAGACAGCATGTTCTTYCTCCCAGTTTCAYGGACGTGCCATGTTTCTCAAAATCAGACTGGAGAAAGTCTGTGAATTACATAAAAGCCCCAACAAACAGGCCCTAATGGCTGAAAAACAAACAGMATTAACATCAATAGAGATATGTTTGTAAAAGTAAAACAAAACAGAGAATTAGCTCATCACTCCATCCTTCAGAAGTTCTGAAAATTAACAGATTTTCCACCAAGTAACCAGATTAATCCCTGCTGCCTTTTTCACAGACTATACTGTCAAGCGTGGGAGATGCTCCTCATGCACAGTGAACTGGGAGCCTTCTCCCTTCACTGTTCTGAACATAGCCCAAGCAAAATTGCAGTGACCATATACACATCCATTCAGCATCAGCCCTTGAGACAGATTTGCACAGGGGCTGCCTTAAAAAGGGCTTTTCCCCTTTCTCCCTTTCTGCTGTGCACAGCACAGCTGACATGGAATGGCTCAAGGTGGGACCACACTCAGAGGGARGACATGCTCCTTACAAGCCAGCTAAAGTTTTCCCTGGTTGAAGAGTGGTTTGAAGCCCCAGCATATCCTCAGGTAATTCATGCTGTTTGGTTACACATTAAGCATATCTGCACAGGCCATTTGCCTTCCCTCCAGTGCCAAATTACTTCATGTCTCCTAAATGTTCACCAAATAAATCACAGGCTCTTACTCTCTTGGGAACAGAACTGCTGATGGTTTCAGGCACCAGCAGCACCAGCAGTAAGGGATCACCCCAGAGCAAGCCAGACACTGCTATTCCCACAAAAGGTGGGTTTGAAGGACATCTTTGCAGTTCCCCTGAAAAATCAGTCATGCATCACTGGGTAGTGAATAGCCATCGTGACAAGTGATCATCAATATGGCCTTAAATCTATTCCACCTCACCAAAGAATGTAACACACTTGAAACCCTGTATTTTTACTCTCTGCCTTTCCCAGGCAGGCAACAACCACTGTTCTTGAGATGGTGCCGGGCAAGAAAGTCTTCTCACTAAGCAGCTTTCTAGAAACAGAGAAGCACTGCTGCAGCCATCAGAGCCTCCTTGCTGAACACAGCACATGATACCTGACCTTTTGGGTCTGAAAGTGGGATTGGGGACAAAAGCACCCCCTTTTACATCTATTGCTTCCAACACGCAGCCTGAAAAGGCAAAGTGATTCAAGCCAYGCAGACAGGCTGAAAACCGAAACAGCCATTTTCACCTGCAGCTGAACTACAAGTGTTAGTATYATTATTATTATGGTTGAGTTACTGGTTTTTGCCGTTTGCACTCAGATTGTGCAGCAARACTGTCTTGTACCCGTAAATATGTCCCTCACTGGTGACCAAAGGCTACGGCTACCTCTCTGTGTCCCCACTTGYTCTCAGGTGTCACCCCTGTGACATTCAGCTCCAGGAGATGTGTAAGCTCACCAGCTAAGCCCACAGCTAGTGAGAACTAGCACTCAAAGGAGTGAGGTGATTCAGTGCAAGGYCAACACCAATGTAACAGCAATATGAACAGGCACTGGAGTACAGTCCTGAGGGATGCCTAAAGAGTGCATTGTGTTGGTAAAGTATTTTGGGAGCAGGGAAATGAGTCCTGATTGCTGAACTCTTTCTGTGTGCAAATAAGCTGGACATTGTGCACTCTGTGTTAAATATATGAGACTTTGCTATTAATTATCTTCTTAGWGAGAATAACCTCACAGATCCCAGGCTGTGGCTAGTTCTCACATCAAAGGTAGCCAGCCACAGGCAACATTTGGAATTAAGCATCTCACCCAACCATGAAGCAAACAGGAATAACTAATGTGTGAGACACATCACAAGGGTTTGAAGACTCTCAAGTGGAATACTGGGCCAAATTTATCCAGCTGCAAGATTTGCAGTGTCAGTGCAAGTTGAGTTTTGGCCAGTATTTGTTAAATTTGTCAGGAAAATGGCACAGTCAATTCTTAGGCACCCAACTGTGCAGCAGACACTACACAACTGAAATCTTGGTGAACATTACTAAAAAAAGCCAGTGGGCATATGTAAAGCACACCATAAGGGCTTCTCAGCAAGAGCYCACCATAGTGAGGGCTGAAGGCCAATTCAGACACTCCTGCAAGGAAGGACTGCATCTCACAGAGGAAATACACAAGGAGACCAGGAGAAAAATGCATGACTTTAGAAGATGGTTACCTCCTGAGCTGTAGGAGGGCAGGCTGCAGGCAAGGGGCTCTTTGCTAACAGCCCCCATGTCCTGATTGTGCACAGGAAAGGCAAGAAAAGACTTGCGTGGAGACCGTGCTGCAGCAGCACTTTCTCTTTTCTCAGTATTGCCCAGGACAGGTCAGAAACACTCCAAAATAAATGATGAATGAATTGGAAAACTGTGAGCCTGTCCTACAACTAGGGAATAAACAGAAAGTCCCTAGGGCTGCAGAATTTCCCTYGGGATGAGGAAGGAAACTCCTAAGGCAGATCAGTGCCTAAAGCAATGCACATGCTCAACCAAGTGGCAGCTCATGACCCACAGATGAGGCCATGGCCAGTGAGTGCTTCCAGAGGTTGTTCCAGCTCCTGACAAAATCCTTGCATTGTAGSCTACACCTCAGAGCATGCTGTCAGGTTTCCAGCAAGAGCTGTGGCAAGGTATGCATAAATGGGAAAACCAATGACTGGAATAAAAGACTCCAAAAGCAACAGCAGATCTGTCTCCAGGAGGGCCCAGCATAGCAATGATGCATTCCCCAGTTTGYAAGTTATTATAAGCATATCCCTAACGATGCTCATTTTCATCCTATTCCCCAGCTGTTTCTAATACATTTGTTTTGTTTGTTTGCRTGCTGGATCCAAGGCCTTGTCTGCATAGCACCATCTCATTTTTTGCTGCAGAGCCCCACGCACACAAAGGCTGTGCTTTGYAGCCCACCCGACACCTCTCTGCTCCTCCTCTCAGACAGCTCTTGTGCAGCAGATGGACAGAGAAGGACAGAGGGATGAAGGAAGGGCAGGCTGAACACTGAGCCATCCTGCCATTGTCTGTACCTCGCTTTGCTGGTTCACCATCATCATAAACACGGGACTACAGTGCACAGCCGCTCTTGCTTTCCACCAGCATGGTCTGCCAGGACACCCCAACACTGCAATCACCTCTTTACCAAAAGAGAGGCACAGAGAGCATGGTGCTGTGACCCTGTCACCCTGCAGGCCCTCACACCTCCATCACATCCTGCCTTGGTGTGCCATCCACAGAGCAGGGACACTATAAGTGGCCACAAACTTTTATTACTCCAGTGACACATGAAAGCACACTGTGCCAGCCTGAGCAGCTGACAGTATAATGTGTTCTTGTAAACTTGGAGGCACTGAAGAATTAAAGTGGATCCTCAGCATGGCTGATTCACATTTCAGGGCAGAGCAGCACCACACGTGCACAGAGCATCTCCTAGCAGGGATTCCCTGGGTGGCAGAAGCAGCTCACTGTTTTAGATGAGATACCRTAATGAGAAGCCAGATGGGTGAGCTGAGAAGCTGAAGGCATGCTTCCATGGTAAATGCAGCAATCCTGAAATAGAGAAAATTTGGTTTTCCCCTGCACAAATGCCCCCAGTTGGCCTGGAGAGGTTGCTGCCGAAGGACATAGATGTCAGCAGCTCAAGGGGCTTCCTGAATAGGYTGGAGATCTGCAAACAACGAACATCTCCAGAGAACTGTAAAGACTAATAAAATAAGCAAGAGTTTTGGAAAGAATGCAAGACTACAGACTTTGAAGTGAAAGCCAAGCTCTAACTCTTGGAGTGAAAAATAAATTATCCCCAGAGAGAGCCCTGTGAGCTTTAGAATTTCTTTCTCTAAGCAGAATGCAGGGCCTCTGTTGGAGACATGGTCGTGGGCTAGATGGAGCAATGGTCTGCTCCAGAGTGGTTTTTCCTAGAAAAGCTTCAGTTCTAATCTGAAAAATGCAGCTCTTGGCTTCAAATAAAGATCAGCTGCTGGAAATATGGAAATACTTTCTATACTTAAAAAAAGTATGCGTAGGCAAGAAGAAGGCCTCCTGTCAGAGCACTGCATGGGGCTTAATCACTTGGCTCCTGATGCCTTCAGCAAGAGTTGTTCATCCCAAGTCCCATGCAATGTTTCAGGAAAGGCAGCCCACATTCTCATAGTTCTCAGAACAGATTTGACTATTAAAAAACTTTGGCACAAAGTTTCTTTAACCAAACAAAASTGAACTCCTTGGGCTAAACCCATACCTCGAGGAACTCCAGTGGAGTCCAGGATGCAACAGTAGGATTAATCTGGTCCGTATTTTTAATTCCCCCAGTACAGGCCTCTCCTGTATTTCTATAGCCCCATTCCCACACCCCAGTTTTTGGGACATTTATCTCCCAGGTGTATCATAGCCTATTTTACTATCTTTTTATTTCTGCTCCCCCCTTCCCCCCAGTCTCAGTGGAATTTGTTTGTCTTTGCAGTACTGTAGCATCTTGGCTTTCCACAATACACAAACAGAAGGGACGTCTGATGTGAGAAGAGAGAGGCAGAACAAAGGACACTTTAGTATTCCCACTGTAGCCTTTGCAAACTGAGACACAGAGAGATTGACTTGTCCAGTGTCAGACAGAAGTTTGTGCAGAGCTGAACCCTCATTTCCCCAATGCTTTTCTCATACAAACATCCCTTTGTTTTCCAGCAGAATATAATCCTYCTTTTTCTTCTCTTTACACTTCTGGCTTCCTCCTCCTGCCCTTCTCTCTCCATTATTCTTTCCTTCTGCATTTATGCCTCAAATATTTACCTTTTGTGTGTGCTAAACCCTCTTTAACCCCTTCCTGCCCGTTCCTGCAGGCTATTGTCTGTCCCCACAGGGCTGTGAGCCTTCCCAGTTGGATTTCTCTGATTTTCCACAAGCCATGCAGAGGGGCTTAGCCAAGGGCTGCGGGGGCCTTTGCCGCTGGGATTTTGCTGG